ATGGACGTGTTGATTGGATTATTGGAGTAATAAAGACATTGTAAGATAATATCTATTTTTGTCTGTAGTATGAACCATTAGTTGAGATTTCTCATCAAAATTTGGTCATAGCATCGGTGGTTGAGAGAGACTAGTATTGATTTATTCTGATCATCGAGGTTTACTTGAAGACTCATTAAATATGTACTTATTGCGTAAAAAAGAATCTTGTTTCCTTCCAAGGAAGGTGCCGTTGCTTACATCCTAGCTAAAAGGACTCATGGAACGATATAATTGAAGATGCCAAGTTGGCTCTGATGGCTACCCCTGACTGGGGCACTCCAGTAGTTATTCAACTTTTAAATTGAGGAATAATATCTCAACTCTTTCCTTCATATATCTAGCAAGTTATTTGATAGTTGATTAATTGTATTTAAAATTACTTGACAATCATATATCGATTTCATTAAGGAATACTACTTTAACCTAATCATTTAAGATGTAAAATTAATTGAAGAATATGATTAACCAAAGCTTGTAAAAAGAATCCCATCTTAGTTTTCAATTTTTGCTCTTTGCTATTTATGTTTTACATAAAGGTCAAAGATTTGGTAAAGGAAAAAAAATTTAAAGGGGGTTGGTTGCCGTAGCTTTCTTTGAAGTAGCACAGCAAGAGGGAAGAGGCAACTGGTGAAGGTAGACTCCTTAATTTAACCTTTGTTCGTCGGACGGAGTCAATGAACAATTGGCAATTGGTGATTACAAAAATGGGTAGAACTCATAACCACTTTTGATGTAAAAAATTAGTAAAACAAGGAAAGAAGCTTTAATTGATCTTCTTTTTAATTAAGGAAATAAAATAAGACAGCTTCAAATACCACGTTTGATATTTTAACCTTAAAATAACAATTCTTAAATAGAATATTGTCCCTTAACCAAATCTTAAGTCAATGCTCTCTCCTTTTTTTTTTATTTTTTTAATTATACAAAAAAAAAAGAAATTCTTTTTAATTCAGTTTTATATACTAGAATAGAAGTGAGGTCTTCAATTACAAACCAAATTTATGCTCTTTGTGCTCCAATTCTCTTGAGTTTATGGAAATTTCTCATAATAATTAGAAAAAAGGAAAATCTCAGATATACTCCCGAAAATACTGGTGATTGAGAGATTTGTAATGGTAACTATTATTTGGAGTTTAAATGATTGAAGTTGATGCATAGCTTGTGATTGCTGTTTCATTTTATGAAGACAATGATGCTTCTTAAAAACACAAGGCAAGCAGCAAGAAGACTAGATAGGGCAATGTTGCTAGTAGTTTTTTTTTTTTTTTGTTTTTTTGAAAGGTGAATTTATTGAGTCACTGCAGCCCACAAGTGCTACTACAAGTCTAAGGTTGTCTACCAAAGACTCTCCATGGCATATCATGGAGACTGCTCAGGCAAAGGAAGCTGCTCAGGAATAAATAGGCAGCGAACGGAGAGATCAGAGTCAAGACAGAGAGCAAGCTCACATTGCCTTAAAAACAGAGTGGCAAGAGGGCACAAAATATAGACCTATACAATAATGTTGCAAGCAGTATTATTTAGAAATAAGTCCACTCCTCTTGTGCTGCCCTATGCATAAGGGCAGGGCATAAATCCCTCTTACCAACAAGAACGCATCTTTCTGTCTAGGAGTAAATCTTTGACCAATGCTGTAGTCGTTACTTTGATCGGGAACATATTCTTGACCTCTAAATGAGCCGTCACTGATGACTCGGAATTGGAAAGCGATTCCTTGGATGCTGTAAAAGAAGGGAATTACGCTTTCACTGTTTTCTGGAGAATGAGGAAGTTGACAGTGACTGTCCAAGAGCTGAAAAAGAGATCTCAATTAATTTTACAAATGGGATAGCCCATCGATCTTGTCAAAAACAATGCTCCACTTTAATGTATCAAGTTATACAATTGAATTTAATAATCAAATTTGTTGTATCTAAAATTGCAAATCAATTCCATATTTTTATCATATTAATCGAAAGTATAATTTTTTATCAAAGTTTGCAAAAGAAAAAACCATGATCCATGAGTGAGTTAAATCAAAATATCTTTTACTCATGAACGAGTTTACTAAAATTTGAAAGAGAATAGTTTGCCTCAACATGGCGGGGGTCACATTCTAGTATATTATTATACAATGATTTTACCATGCAGACTCCTTTTAGGGCTTGTCACATGGTTTTTTGTTATTTTTGAATTTTTGAAGGGTATTTTCGAACTTTCAATTTTTTTTTTCTCCTTTCTTCCTCACCTCGCTTGCCATCTCATTCTTAAACCGGTCAATCTCCAAATTAGTGACGCCCCCATTTCCTTCAACAGTCATCGTCTCATGGCACAACTAACTCATTCTACTGGCTCACTTTGCTAACCCACCATCCCTATTCAAACCTCCTTTCTCTTCCGCCCGCATCGTCATTTTCTATCCTTTTGACTAATTGTACCTTTTGTTCTTTGTTTCTTTTGTTAGCGATATAACGACAAGAAAGCCTCTTCAATACAAAACATGAACTTTCCTAGGGATTAAATTCCTCAAGTTATAAGACTATGTCATGTAAAACAGTTTTATATTTGGAGTTGTGGAATTCTTCTTTTTCCCTTTCCTTTGAATCCATTTTTGTGTTGACACTTTAATTGCTGAGAAAGATTCATTAAGCCCATTGAGAAATCTAAATATCATGTCTTTATGGTATTGATCAGTATACTTCTTGAAACACTCTACATTTCATTTTCCACATTCACAATGTGGCAGGGGACGGTAACTTCTCATCACTTACCAAACTGCCTTCAACTCAATGAAATATGAATCTGCTGATTTGGTTCTTTGGGTTATTTTTCCTAAAGTATACTGCAAATTACACAACCTCGTGTCATCTGGTTGATCATAGTTAAGTTTTAGAGTGTTCCACATCTTAATTGCAGATTCCATGTAAAATATAATAGAGGCTATTAAGGGTCAGATTGAGTCTAAAAGCCAAGCAACTATTAGGCTGTTACAATGAGTCCGTGAAGGGTATAAAAGATCTGTAGCAGCTAGTTTAGGAATAGATCCATTGATGAAACCTATCTTGTTCCTAATTGAAAGAGCTAGTAGAAAAGATCTGTTCCATCCCACATAGTTGTTAGTGGTAAGCTTTGGGTTAATAATGACTGAGCTAGGCAAACAGTTCATTTACAAGGCGTGGTTCGATGATATATACTAAGACGCCTTCAAGGGAATACCTAACCGGAAAGTAACATTCTTTTATACTTGTTTCAAATTATATGTTGTATTTAATTGAAAAAATTGTAGAATTATGTATTGCTTGCATTACCAAATAGCATCCTTATACTGTTAGAGTGAACTAGAGCTTGTCACCTCATCAAAACTTGGATTTATAAGTAAGGTTTTTAAAAATTCTCCTGTTAATGTCGCGAGTTGTTGTTATATACTGATTGTGTATGTAATTATATATCACAGAGTGAATCAAATATAAATCTTTATATATATATACATATTTAAGTGGAAATTATGATTATATTATTGTATTATGTGCTTTTATATTTTTACGATGAAAAAAGGTGTGTCATATCTCCTTTCTAAATCGTAGTACCTGCTGGAAAAATTTGTACACACTCTGCTATACCTTTATTAGGTATAAGCAACTGAAAGTGGTGTCTTTCGTAATATACTATAATGGCCTCTTAGGACCTGCTCGCGCTTACCCATTTTCAGTTGTCTAGTTGATAACTTGTTACTAGTGTTTATTGACTAGTCATTGGTGACATATTACTTGAACTGTTTTGGCGGGCAACCAATGGAAACTTTGAACTGTTTTTGGCATTACAATTGCTGAGGTACATTTACCAATCTATATTAACAATTACTTGGTGCGAGATCACGATCGGTGCTTGTTCAATTTAATTGATAATCATATAACTTGGATGTGCCACCAATATATTTAAGATGTCTGTATGTGTCAACATTCTTTCTAGTTTACTCAATATAATGTGGCTTATATATGCTAGACGAAGAGTTTGTTAAACAAAAACTCTTAATATTATAAGGGCCATCAATAGTTTTTTTGTCTGTGTAACACTTAGAAGTATATAATTATGTATAGCAACCATTATGGCCATGGCTATTTACATCTCTTGCAGACTAATTTACTCAATGGGAAATGTTAAAAGAGTGTCTGTAGGCACTTGTTAAGATGTAAAAGTTTCTCCTGTGTGTCATGCATGTTAAGGTGGGTACTGTGGCAGTGTATGTAACCTAGGCTTTTTTCTCTTTCTATCATATGGTCATTTAATTTTGTGGAGTCCCTAAATTCTTTTATTTCCAACAATTTGTTGAAGCTAATAAGCGTGCCTTCTACTTGGAAATATGTAATGCAGGTGTGAGGATTAAGGGCTGGTTGCAGGGACCGAATAGTTTCTTGTAGTAGCAATTATGAGGATCCCTATGTATTTTGGATGTTTGGCACTGCAGTTGAACAAGAGTTGGTTACAAGTTGATTGATGAAACGTTTAGAAAAGTAATTCAGAAAAGAAAGGCATGTTTAGTTTCTTTGTCCTTGGACTTAATAAACCTTGGCACACTGAAATTTTTCAGTATTTCAGCACTTGATACCAACTACTAATATATATATATAGACTCTGAGCTTGCTATAGTCTATAACTCTTCGATTAGAAAATTTCCATTCTGCCTTCTTATTGCTCCACTAAGCAAAGCCTGCTCATCAATTAGGAAGTCAAGAATAAAAACTGAGATGGAAAACAAGAGGGAAATGAATGCAAACTATTGGAGAGATATACATAATAAGAACATAGAATAATTTTTAGACATATGATAAGAATGCATAATAATATAGTACTATTATTTATATTAAATTAAGCACACAAATTCTTCAGAAATTAAAAGTACTTAACAACAACTATCTTGACAATTTCTATGTAGACCTTTGCCAGATACCCAACAATATACACTAATCCCACAACGACGGATGTTTACAAGGTTGCTGTGTGGTTGGTTTGACAGTAGCTGCTATACTCGAACATGTCGAGGCCACAGCCACTCACTGTGCGTTGGATAGTAATTCTAATGCTATGGCTGGCGAACTTGATTGGGACGTTGTCCATCTCGAGGCTGTTGAGAATCATGCTGCAGTCGCTGGTGCACATGGGTGGTCTGACTTGGTAAATTCAGGCCTTGTTGAGCTGCCGAGGATGGACTCACAGCATGGTGCTGGGCGTTAACGTTAGCAGAAGGTGCACTAAAGCTGATCCTGTTTCCATCAACTGCACCACGCATTTGTCTAGCCAGTAAAAGTTTGTAAAACTGAATCTCCTGTCTGGTTTCATCAGTTTTTGCTGTCAAAAGAACATAGGAATATGTTATTCCATGGGGAAAATGTTGCATGAAAGGCATGTTCTTTACCTGGAATGGTTTCATTAGGACCGAAATGTATCTTGTAAAAAGAAAAGTGATCAGAACGCTTAAGAAAAAAATAAACATCCTGCTTTTATTAGGTATGTATTTCAATCTTCGATCATCACTCTACTCCAATTTGTAACAATTTTTCAATTTCTGTTCAGCCATTAGGATATGTGCATGTGCATGCATACATATCTCTAAATTTATAACCTTAAAATGACCATAACTAATTCATGAAACACACTTCAATAACAGCATCAAGCTATACAAATTAAAGGGGAAAAAATATAATGAATAAGAATACAAAATCTGCTAAAAAATAAATGCAAAAAGAAAATCCTTACACTCTTGCAGGGCAATCATTCGCTTAACGAAGTGGACTCGATCTTTCAGTTTGGAATTTTCATCAATCAAGGCATTATGCTGTGTCTGCCCATTTGTAGAGACAACAACACAAAATATTCAAACTTTTTTAAGGGAAATCACATTAAAATCTGATTAACAGCATTTGGTATAAGTAGATACAATAAAAATAAGAAATTTCTCTTTTCAAATAGAATCAAATTATATTGCTAAATTTTATATTTGATGATTTACCCCCAATAAGGTCAATTGAATTGATGATTGAGCAGCTCGAGATTTCAACTTTTGTAGCTCATGTTGGAGCGTGTATGTATACAGCTTCTTCCTCTCCTTAGCCCTTATAGCTGACCTTCGATTTTTGATAATCCTTTACAGATTCAAAACAGTTATGGGTAAGCATCGAACTGAATTTCACAATAAACTCAAGGGAAGCAAGACTATATATAGTTCATCAATTAGATACTGCTAAGTAATAACAGCACTAGTCCATTAAAATTCAATACCTTGTTGCCCTCTTCGGGTCAGTTTTTGCTAGGTTTTCAAGCTCTTGAGGAGGCATGGCTTTCCTGATTTCAAATGGCTTGGCTATGGAAGCTGGTGCTCGTGCGGGCGGGGTTAAGACAACTGTTCGTAGGGCAACTTGCTTCGTAGCCTTGTCAGCCTGTGCTACTGTCACTGGTGCAGGATTTGATGTCGGTGCAACCGGAGAGCTTTTGGTCGCTGCTGGCGAAGCATCAACATAATCGGTCGTTAAGAGTTTTAAAATGAAGTCGCCGTCCTCATCATCAGACTCCTCCATTTCACCCAAAACTATTGTCGCTTCTGCTGAGTATGAGTCTAAGCCATCATCAAACACCTTATGCAAGTTAGTATCATTACGTGGGGCAATGTTTAGCAACTAGCCGTACGTGCATATTACCTGGTTCGGTAGCAGGGTTAAAAAACACATCCGATTAAATTTTGGTTCTATTTAATATATTTTTAATATTGTTTTTGTTTCGATCTATTTATTCTTGTTAAAAAAAATAATGCTTTTATTTTTTATTAAATATTATAATAAACATAAAACAAATAAATGTATTTAATTCAGTTCAAATTATTCGATTTTTTATTGTGTATAAATTGAATCAAATCGAATCAAATAAATACAATTATTATTAAAAATAAATATGTTAAAATTAAAAAAAATTATGACATGTGTTCTATATATCTATCATGTTATCACAAACTCATCCAATAATAATACGTCAGGGAATTGAGAGAACCAGAACTCACTCGCCATTCATTAGAACTTTTTTTATATTGTTTTTAGTTTATTCATGTGAATTTAAAAATAAAATAAATAGTTTTTATAAAAAACAAAGAACAATATTTTAACTATAATAAAACATAAAATTCAATTCAATTTTAATAATTTCACTTTTCCAAAAAAATTATTAATTTTGATTTTTTTTATTTATAGATCAAAAATCGAATCAAATATATATATTGAATAATAAAATCAAACCTGAAAATTCATAGAAACTAAAAAAAAAAAATTCAATTGAACACTACAGTTCAAATCAGTTTTGATTTTCTTAATTTTATTTTACGACTCTAGATGTGATATAATATAATTGGATAGCTCTATTTATATATTAACTTTTTATTAAAATTGGATCTGAATAGAACCAAACACCATGAATTTTTTATAACATATATACTACTTAATCCGAATATAAAAAAAAAAACTGTATGATATGAATAGTGATTATCTATCCTTCTTATAAAAGATCAACTAACATTCTGCCTCAAAGCAAAAAAAAAAAAGCATCACAACAATTCAAAAAGCCATCATTTGAGTCTATCCATATGAGTTGAGTCTTGTTTCAATTTATCACAAACTGAGTTTTGGCTGATTTACCTGATTGTTGAGATACAGTTTCCAACTTCACTTGAGACTTTGATGATGAGGAGGCAACCTTAGGCTCATAATTCTTTCCCCAGGAAAAAACATTCTTTTCCTCTTTGATTGCCTTCTTTCCCAATGATAAAACCTTTTCTTCCTCTTTGATTGGATTCTTTCCGTTGTCCATCGATCTTTAGAATTTTAAATAATCCTGAGAAGATAAAGAAATATATATAAAAAAAAAAGTATATCTGTTTTTGTGAAATTACTTATAATATTGCAAATTGCAAAGCACACATATGTCTCTGCTCTTTAGAGGAAGGAGAGGGAGGCGGCCATATATTGACAGTAAACAGCGAATGGGGAGAGATGGACAAAAGGCAAATAGGATTGAACAACTTACATGTACAATGTACAATGTACAGCTGAGTTCTTGTGTTTGTGGGTTGTACTTGACACATATACAAAATCATAAATTCCTAAACCTGGATTACATTGCCTCAAAATACAACCATATGGGTTGATAGTACTTATCTTGTGTTTCATTCTTTCAATACCCATTTTAGTAAGCTAATTGATTTAATGGTAAGTTTATACCCCCTATTTAAAGTGTTGGGTTGGATCTCCCTCTTCTCTCAAAATATAAAAGGAAAAAAGTTTGAAGATTTTGGAAAGATTAATGCCACCATTTACTTTTAATTGTGGAATTAATTCTGGCATACAAGGGAGGGAATCCTTTCCGCTACTATTTTGTAGTCGAGACCTTCACCATGTTATTCTTCTAATTATTACATGACAATAAAAAGTTGTAAATGAAAAATTATGTTTTTTTAATGAAAAATTGTGATTATTTAAAAGTCACAACTGAAAGATTATGTCATTTACTATAATTATTGAATTATAAGTGATTTTTCATATAAAAAGTTATGTCTCCTAATATGACATATGAGAATGACTCTAGATCAAAAAATTATGAGATAATTACAAAACATCATTAATCAAATGTTTGGATATAAAAAGTTATTTTTTCTGTATTATAATTCAAAAATTACGTTTTATAGTATGAATAATTATCTTTTTATAATGTAATTATTAAAATAATACTACTTTTATTTAAGAATCATGTCTTGCAATATGCAAAAGTATCTTTTCAAAACATAAAAGTGACTTAATGAAAAGATTATATCAAGACACTTAATAAGAAAAGTATTATATTCTAAATAAAAATTTAAAAAATAAATATAAATACTTTGAGTTCTTATAATTAATGTGATGAAAAGTTAAATACGATTAAAACTACTCGAATTAATCAAATTTAGTCGATTACATTAGCTTTGATTATTCCCTTTAGGTTGGGTTGATTTTGATTATTTATTTGAGATGTTCAATTTTAATTTTTAACATTGAATCAACCGAATGCTCGCTCTTACCGTCAAACAAGCGTCAACAGGGAGGGCGAAATGAAAAAGCCCAATAAGCTAGTGCTGATTTAATGATATCCACATTGTTCCAAAAGAATCATTAAATTAATTATTTAATTTACTAAATTTCGGAGCTGGAGAGAGAATGAATGACTTATTAGGAACTGGCTTCTAGTAAAATACAATAAGTTAATTAAAGAGTGTTTTTCAAGCTAAAGATCCGAAAGCTTAATTTCTCCTCCACATTTTAAACTCCAAAATAAAAGAAACTAAAAGCAAGATGGCAATAACAACCCCGTAGCCAGCATTCCATCCTTTTCCCTCTTCTCCCAAATGAATCCCATAGAAGACATTCGCTATTGCAAATACAATCAAAATTCTCCCCGCACTGTAATGGTACCAATTCCAGAATTTACGCAGCTTGGATTCCTTGCCTGGCCTGGCAAAAAGTGCCATTACCTATAAAACAAAGTCAATAAAACGATCTTATATATACAACCCATACATATATATATATATATATATATATATGCATATGTAAAACCATGGAAATTCTTATATGGTCTTCAAACCTCAATTAAATTATCTACTGTCTCATTTTCAGGTGCTTATAACTTTGTTGCCCTGATTTTTATATTTCACAAAGTACCCATGTCAGAAACATACTTATCTTTGACATTGACTCTGGAGTCCAAAAATTAACTTACAAGCATTGCATAAGTTTATTTCTGTGTTCTAAGATGGTTAAATCCCCACTTTTCTATCATGTTAGGAGCGGATGGTATGATATATCGCATAGACATGATGATAAGTTAGAGACCATAGGACATAAGCATATGTACTTATGGTATATCATAATTAAACTAGCACATGCATATGAGTCAGCTTAGACAAGGAAGGTGCTCTGAAATGCTTCCATAAATGAACAGAGACAAACCTGGAGGCATCCCAGCACAAGAATGAAGATCCCAAGACCTTTGTGGGTGGAGACATCAGCCTTGAGACGATCTTCTAAAACAAATCCACATATTACACCCGATAGCCCGAGGATAAAAGCACAGGACTGAATCACAGCGTGGGAATAAAACCAGATTGGATCCCATTGCTTAAAGTAACGAGCAACTATTGCTCCAATTATCATCAATAGTCCCCAACTAAGCATATTTAGTATTCCATGGCTCTTCCTTAATCTTGTGTGTGGGCTCTTTGCTGTACTTGTACCTGTTGCATTCCATAAATCCAAATAATTCCTCTGAAATTGATTTGTTTTCTGTATTTTATGTCTTGACCTTAATCTTTATTTGAATGCAAGTAAATACATTATGTTGGCAGAGCAATGAACTCCATTCAAGAGAGAAAATTGACAAATTTCTTCAAAGTTTCATGTATGAAAATACATGTGCCTTCACTTAAATGGTATAAATGTCTCTTTCTTAAAATATATATTTATATATTCTGATTAATAAACAATTAAACTAGGAATAAGTCCATAAGGTATGCTTTCATCATGGTCGGCAGAGCATTACATATCCTGCTGTCATCACATCAACTAAGCTGATTTTTTAATAATTGTCTAAAACAGAAAGTGGTTTTGAATTATTTCTATTATTCACCTGTAAAATAATTCAAGCTGGTGGAGACCTTGTCACGGTGTTCGGCCAAGGCATAGCCTGGAGAAGTTGGATACACCCCAATCTGTCCGACGGAATATATCACCCGTGACAGGGGTTGACTGGTATTCAACTGGAAAGCCAAGTATAACCGCGAGGATTGGGAAGTTATGGAGGAAGAATTGTTAACGACCGTCAGGTTCCCTTGGTCAGGCAGCACTAGATTTGATCTCGTGCCCCCAAGAAAATATTGTTTTATTGTTGCAGTGCCATCAGTTGAGATCCACCCCACCATAGCGCTTGATCCCACCATCATTCCATCGCTCGAAAACCCCATCGCAACAAAGGAATTTGTATCAGGCGCGGAGAGAACAAAACTCCATAGGTTCGATGAGGTCTGAACATACTGCACAATGGTTTTACATGCATATAGAATATACAAACATTAATATGCTAATTCTCCCAAATATATGATAACAGTAACAAAAATTTCCTACATATACTGTTTAAGGAAGACTTACTCTGAGGATGAAATCATGGCTGCTCCAGACAGAAAGGCAGTTGAGAGAAGATGTATCAAAGGGCACATCAAGGTTTAGTCTGGAGCTGCAAGAATCTGTCTGTTGTGAATTCACCGGCAGGACTGATAACGCCTGCAGGGCGAAGATGAAGATAATGGAAATGAGAGATAGCTTCATTCTTTTTTTTCCCCCTTCTTCCTCTCTCTTTCTGGTTTATGGAATGATCAGGTCTACATATTGTGTTACAAGCTGGAGCAGTTGACAATGATTAAGTCTTTTAAATTAAATATAGTTGGGAGGAACGTGGTGTCTCAAGCCATTACTGATTATATTGGCGTACAGGGAATGGTTAGGTGAGTAAAAGAGGTATGCTTTTTGCTGATGTAAGAATGTGCAGGTTGCTGTTATCTGATTGGAGAGTGGAGACCATATAATTAATTTAGTCAAAGATGGAAAGAAAGTTTGGTATTTGCAGTTTGTTCACCATCCTTTACAATTTCCTCTCCCATCTCTTTTTCTCTTGTTTTTGAACAGGACACTTAGAATGTAAAGGCCTGATGTCTTCATTTGAGTTGCTTAGCTTTCAATGATGAAATAAATTTAATGCCTAGCATAAAGATGGTAGAGGAAATATTGACTTAAATTTCATCACAACATACACGATTTTGAGTTAAACAATAAGAGATAACACACTTTCATTGCATAAAATCTAATCCTCACTTTTTCAAAATTGGAATCAAAATCTCTTCTAAACCGAACAAATTCTAAAAGCAGAGTAGTTGGCACCCATATGTCCGCTGTTACAGGTGTGCCAGAAAGGTGAGAGAATTTGAGTACAGGGCGGCGCTACATGGAAATGGTCAAAAATTGCTTGCTCACAACTAGAGATAGAAAGAGGAGGAGCAAGTTTTTCCGAAGATAAAAAGAACTTGTTCGTTAAACTAATCGAAAATGCAAGACAGTTTTGTTCTCATTATACTAGTAATTAATAGACACTTTGTAAAGAAATTTCTAAACCATTGGGCAGCAGGATCTAACTTTCTAGATTTTGGAACACTTAAGAGTCTACATCAAACCTTTGATGTATTCGCTGCATGGTCTTGCAAGGTATATCCGTCTTGGACTCTTGTAGACGTTGGCATTCCTTTGCCCAATTTTTTACTCCACTTTATAAGTCCATAGAAAATGTTTTTCATGATGGCTTTTTTATAAAGAACTTTGCATAAATAATATCGAGAGAATAATTTATCAAGTAGTATATTTCCTGAGAATCAAGAAAATTCAAAAACAAATGGATGTGAACATGTATAGTGTAGGACTTGTTCTTTTGGAAGGGGGTTAAAAAAGAATCAATGTATTAAAGAGGGCAACTGAACTAAGGAACAACAAGGATAGTCCCTGACTTCAGCTTTTGTGCTGGGCTCTCTGCAACATGATTTTTTTTTTTTTATGAAAGATTATATTTCATTTACAGCAGGGGAAAGTCCCCTTGACCAAGCTACAAAAGGAGGGTTTGGAGCTTTTATACCCCAGTGCTCAACATAAAAGCTATAAACTGATAGAAATATAGTATTTTATCTATAGTTTTTTTTTTTATATCTTTAATGCACATAATATTGATTTGTTAATTTGTAAGGTAGTGATTTGGCATCACATATAAAAACAGGGTTTGTATATGTTTTCAATAGTGTAAATAATACACAAAAAGACGATTCAGCTCTTCCTTTCCAAATATTCCCTCCATTCTTCAACTTCTTTCTTTTTGCATTAAATTTCACATGGTATCATAGCCCTGCTTGATCCATGGAGCTTTTTTATTTTTCTTCCAGTATTTTTGTCACCCCTTTTCAGATCATCAAACTTTTCTTCACTGCTTTCTTAGACTTTTTTTTCTTTTATTTTCCTCTTATGATCTTTGTTTTCTAGTTCTTCTCCTGTTCTTTCATGGCTGGAACTACATGTTTGAAAACTCTTGTTCCCCTTTATGAGGACCCTCAATCTCCTTACTTCCTTCATCATTCAGATCACCATGGGTCAATGGTTATCAATCCCAAACTTACCTCTATTAACTATGTCTCTTTGAGTCATCAATTTATGTTAATCCTCTCCATTCGGAATAAGACTGGGTTTGTGGATGGAACCATTAAAGAGCTTAAAAATACTAATGAGATTTACATTTCTTGGCTATGTTGCAACAATTTGATCATTGCCTGGCTGATCGAATTGATTTCTCCACTGATTGCCTCCACCACTTTTTACATGCACTCAACACGCCAGATCTGGAAAAACTCTTGAAAAGAGGTTCTCTTAGCCCTATGATGCTTGGATCTGTCATTTTCAATTTACTCTATCCAATCTAAATCCAGGTATGAGAGATTGGTGTTTATGTTATTGACGTAAATGCAACAATGGAAGAACTAAGAATTTTTATACCTTTGCCCAATTGTGACTGTGGTTTTTGCAACCAAAAGTGTTTTTAAAAATATATCAATCAGTATAAGAAAGATATGGTGTTTAAATTTGTCAATGGTCTTAATAAATCCTTTGCTGCTCCGAGGTCTCAGTTATTGTTAATGAAACCTTTCCCCACTTTAGACGAGGATTATAACCTTGTTCTAAGGGAGAAAAGTCAACGATCAATATCTGTCAATCAAGTGTTTCATGAAGCCTCTGCTATGACCATTATTATTGATGGAAGAAGAAAGGAAAAACCTAATGTCATTTCTAGTCATTGTGGTAAATCTGGACACATAAAGGAAAAATATTATAAACTGGTAAGTTTTCCCTTTGATTTAAAATTTACAAAAGGCAAGGAAAATCTCAAAACTCCTAAAGCTGCTTTTGTGTTAATAACTCTATAGTGAGTATGGAAATAGATCAGGGTAAAGATATTACAGACTCTTTGTCTAACATTTTCTTTACAAAGAATCAAATTCAGAGGTTCATGGTATTACTCAATGATCAAGGAACAAATTTGCTTAATAACCCACCCTCACTTTGGGACAGATTTTCCTCAGCATACTCCTTCCATTTTGAACTCTACTATGGCAGGTATGATTTTAATCGCAAACTTTTCATCCTTTCAACATTTACCTTCTGCTAAACTTACTGTAAATTTTAATCATCATACCTGGATTGTTGGTTCCGATGCAACAGATCATATAGCGTGTTCTTTAATGTCATTCATATCATCTAAACCTATTCAAAACATATATGTTGAAATGCCAAATGATATTAAAGCCACAGTGACTCATATAGGAACTATTAAGATATCATCACTTATCATTCTGCATAATGTGTTATGTATGCTTGAATTTAGATTCAAATTAATTTCAGTGAGTGGTTTTACAAAGTCCAAAACAAATCATTTGACATTTATTGATAATGGTTGTGTAATTCAAGACATAAGTACTTTGAGAATGACTAGTCTTGCTAAGGTACAAGCAGGCCTATATATATTACAAATCAAGTTTCCTGTAACTCAAGTTGAGAGTTATGCCTTTACAGATTCTGTTTTCAAATCACTTATTCAGAATATTTCTAAATATGTATCCAAGAATTTAGTTCTTAATAGTTTAAATGTTTTTAATGTCAATTGTGATAAAATTTCTAGAAATTTTGATGTTTGGCATTTTCGTTTAGGACATCCTTCTTCAAACAAATTATCTGTTATTCAACAGTTTTTTTTCTGATGTAAGTACTTCCAATGACACAATTTATGAAATTTGTTCACTCGCTAAACAAAGGAGACTTAACTTTCCTTTGCATGAAAAATCAACTATTTCTTATTTTGAGCTGGTCCATATGGACATTTAAGGTCCAGATTCTATTGTTACAATCCAAGGTTATCAATATTTCTTTACCATTATAGATAATTATAGTAGATTCACCTGGACTTTTCTTATGAAAAATAAATCTGAAGTTTTTCATATTGTCCCAAGTTCTTACAACATGGTTGAAACACAATTTAATCATAAAATCAAACAAATAAGATCTTATAATAGACTTGAGTTTAATCTCTTAGGATTCATTTCTTCAAAGGGCATAATTTATCATCTTTCATGTGTAAATACACCCTAACAAAATGGGGTTGTAGAGAGGAAACATCAACATTTGCTAAATGTTGCAAAAGCATTAATGTCTATGCATTTTTTGGGTGATTCGATTTTAGTTGCATCACATTTAATAAACAGAACACCTTCTCCAATTATTAAGAACAAAACTCCATATGAAATGTTGCTTAACAAATTGCCTTCATATAAGCATTTAAGATTATTTGGTTCTTTGTGTTTTCCATATACTTTAAAAAGAAATAGAAAGAAGGTTGATACTAGAGCTAGGAAGTGTGTTTTCATTAGGTATCTTATTGGAGTTAAAGGATATAAGTTGTATGATTTGAATACATGTCGAATCTTCAACTCTAGGGATGTTGTGTTTTATGAACATGTATTTCCTTTTGCAAACAAAAACCTTCAATCTGAATCTGATTTTTCTAATGGAATCACTTTACCTTCTCATAATTTAGTTGATATTTTTAACAATGTTTTATTCTTTTCTCCATATGTTGATAATTTTGGACCTACATACTCTTATAACCCATTACCTGTTACTACCATTCACCTTATTTCACCTACATCCCTTGCCAATAGTAATTTAAATGAAAATAATTCCATTTCCACAACTAATATCACATCTATTAATAGTCATTCACATGAAAGTAATGTTGATGAAAATGAATCCATTTCCTCACAAAATATCAATCCTTCATTTGAACCTAGAAAAAGCACAAGAACTAGGCAAAAACCCAAATACCTTGACATCTATCACTATGATCTGCTTAGTAGATGAAATAATGTTTGTCTTTATCTTATTACTAACCATGTTTTTTGTAAAAAGCTTTCTTTTTCTTTTAAGGCTTTTATAGTAGCTCTTAACTAAGTTCATAAACCATATATCTATCAACAAGCTGTTTTATATGATCATTGAAGAAATGCCATGAAATCTAAAATTGAGGTATTGGAAGAAAATAAAACTTGGCTTGTAGTTCTTCTTACTGATGATGCTCATGCAATGAGATACAAATGGGTATATAAGGTTAAACTACATTCGGATGGGACTGTTGAAAGATACAAGGTAAGACTAATTACAATGGGATACAGCCAAGGGAAGGGTTTTGATTACTCTAAAACCTTCAACCCTGTAGCCAAACAAATGATAGTAAGGACATTCTTTGCCTTAGCAGTAGCTAAGGCTTGGACACTTTGTCAATTGGACATGAACAATGCCTTCTAAAATGGAAAATTTGC